TAATTTTTACAATATGTTAATAATAGTTCATCAGATATGTCGTCAAAGTTATACATAAATCCAAATATATCATTATATTCTTTAAGTATTTGAAATCTATCTTTAACAGATGATAATGCTTGATAATAATATACAATATATCTAATTATTGTATATCTAATATACAATAATAAAGATTAACTTTAAAATGTAGTTTTGATTCCTGTATTACTTCATCTATATTTTCATAATCAAAATTTTTTGGCTTATTTCTACGTCTAACATTTTCAACTGAAATAAAATTGGATTCTATCTCCAATTCCTTTGCTAAATCATTTGCAGTGGTGAGTATATTTTCAAAACTCTCACTACGACACTTCTTCAAAAAATCAGTTAAATTGGTTAAAAATGTAAGAGATTCTTTTATGTGTATGGCTGTATGTGTATTGGCAATATTTTGCTAACAATATTAATTTCAAATAGAATGTTGTACCAAACTATAATTGAATATAAAAATTTAAAATTTTATATTTTTAATAGTAATGAATGTGCTATATGACAAGTTTTAAAGTCTTGAAATTTATCATTTGAAATTTCATGAAGAGCATAATAAATTTTAACAATATGATAGCGTAGCGGTTTTATAGCTTCTATTCTACTAGACCATCTTGTATCATTCAAAGATTTTAAATTCAGATTCAATACATACTTTTTAAGTATTGCTCATCTTTTAGTAGAAGAAGAAAAGAATACATTTCCTGTACTAAATTAAAAAAATTTACTGTTTCCTGAGAAATACTTGCTGAATCATTAATGACAAGATTTAAACTATGTTCTATACATGGTACAAAAATGCCCGCGAATTTATGTTTACAATTTTTCGTTGTAAACCATTATGCTTTCCGCGCATATTTGTACCGTTATCATATCCTTGTCCTCTTATATCGTATACATTTAATTTTAATTTAGACAATTCTTCTAAAATAAATTCACTTAAACCTTCTCCAGTAGAATTAGTAATTGGAGAGAATCCAAGAAAGTGCTCTCTTACTTGTACTACTTTTGCATCTAATAATACAAAACATACGACAATACTTAATTGTTTCGTGTGACTAATATCAGGTATACTAATCTAATATTATAGAATAATTAAACAAATAGAAGGACTCTTTATATAAAAATAAAAATAATAAATAAAGGGCTAAGTAAAAGTCAATACGTAAAAATTATAGTCCGAAAATTGGTGAAACATGAAAGATTGAGTCAGTCTGAATATAAAATATAAAATAACATTTAATTAAATAAATTGAGAAACACATAAATAAATAACACATTATATAGAATAATATATTTAGGTTATGCAGTATAAGAGACCATCCTCCAATGACCTCGACCTTGACATATGTTGTCAAGGTCATGACCCCGAGTGACCTTTAACAAATTTTAGTCGTCGATCATTGTTCGTTAAAAAGTTATTATCAAAAAAATTCTTCAATAAAATCTAACTTTTGGACATGACTGCGCTCCGAATCATGAGACAAATTCCTTGCTTTAACAGCGCAAAATATTTTCTTATATAATTTATATCTTTAGAGCACAGAGAATTTGTATTTTTAAAGCAGAGAATTTGTATTTTTAAAAGCACAGAATTTGCATTTTAAAGGAAAAAAATATGGTTTTAAAGTAAAGAATTTGTATTTGTTGTGTGTGATGCAAAATGTTTTTGTTTATTTTATTCATTTAGTATTTATATTTTCAGATATTGGGTATTCCTTAGCCATTATGTCAAAGAAAGCGTCTAATCGTTCATGTGTATCAAATGCTTTTTTGAACATGAATTCTGCAAGGTAATGGACGAAATGGGATTGTTTACGACCATACCGAGGTATAATTCCGCGAATATCTCTCCACAGACATTCAATATTTTGAATATGAACGCCTGTGTCTAGATCAACAAAATTTTGTGAATGATTAACTGTTTTATGTTGATACATTGGGTCGATTTGGCTGTATGCGTTAAAGTTCTGCTTTAAAAATACAAATTCTCTGTGCTCTAAAGACATAAATTATATAAAAAAATATTTTGTGCTAATAAAGCAGGGAATTTATTTCATTGGAGTGAAGTCATGTCCAAAAGTAAGGTTTTATTGAAGAACTTTTTTTGTTAATAATTTTTTAATGAACAACGAGCGACGGCTAAAATTTGTTCAAGGTCACTCGGGGTCATAACCTTAAAAACATATGTCAAGGTCAAGATCATTGGAAGATAGTCCCTTATACTACATAATGACCTATATTTAGATTTTCTTACTAAATCTAATGCTTCTTTAATTTTTGTGGTAATAAGAGTAATAATCTCATTTTGTATTCTATTTCCTAAATAATGTGCAATTCTTTTTCTTTTATCCTTAAATCTTTCAATACGTTGAATATGTTCGCGCACGATATTATCAAATTATGTACGATATCATTTCTACCACTTTGAAAAAATTGCCGTTGTTGTGTTCGTATAATTTCTCAGATGAACTTCTAAAAGCCAGACATTGTCGAGACAAATATTGAATTATAGATATGATACGTTCGATTACTCCATACCAGTGTTTTCGCTCTGCTTCTAGTAGACATTGATTTTCGCTATCTACAGTAATATTCGATTTTAATGATTTGCTGAAGTTAATTCATGTCTTAAGATTTTCTTTGTGAATATTATTTTTTTCATGTCGAATTAAAATGAAAGATAAATGTTGCCAGTCTGAAAATCCACATTGATTTGAGAAATTATTACTGTTATCACCAAAAATTTTGCAGCAGAAACAATATACCGAGTTATTATGAATTGAATAAACAAGCCAATCACGAAATACTTGTTCCCTGTTTGGTAATTGTCGAAAATAATATGTTTTGAAAATTTTCTTCCCGATTTAGAAATAGGAAAATCTAAATTTTTTACTTGATATACGGTCCCTTTTCGATTAATATTTGAGCAAGATGAGAGATTTAAAATTTTAACAGACCATAAACCTGGATCTTCTAAATTTATTTCCTTCATAGAGATCTGTCTTACAAGTGTCTTGTTAGATTTACTTCTTCTTTCCTCCAGATTTGATATTAATGTATTCTCCGTTATTATATCAGCTTCATCATTTGGTTTTTTGGATTTTTGTTGAACTTTTTGTTCTATGGATACATTCATTTTTATATCTTCCGTAGTATCTTATTTGGTAAATGATTATGCAATGTTGAGTTTTCAATAGAATTAAGTATAGATGGTATGTGCGCATCATTTTGGAAATGTTTTAAAAGAGAATTTTTCATTTTTTTAGCTTCTTTCTGTTTTTTTCTCGTTTTTTATATTTTACTCCTGATAAATGTTAGTTTTTCTTTCTGACATAGCTGTGTCTAAACAAGTAATAAATACAAGTATGAAATTTTATTAGTAGAAATATTGGTTTAACTTTTTTTATAATAATGTATCCTTATTTATTTATTATTTATAAATTTATTTTAATATGATATTTAATTAGTTCTTAATTGGATACATTCCATTTAATGACACAAAATGAAACAAATGTCATTTTACCTTTTTTGATATTTAATGAGTAACAGAACAGACTAGATTTGTGTTACACACACCACTAAATAAAAAGCACTTATTATATTTGAGAGTTTCTTATAGTATTACTTCATTGAATATAAAAAATTAATCAAAATAGTAAATTTTTTACTTACTTTTCGTAATTTCTAATTACTTCAAATTGTTATATATAATTGACTGTTTTTAATTATATATTATATGTCTTATAGCAATTTTAACAGAATAATTATTTAAATATGTATAAACTTTTCTGAAAATTCTCTGACTATATAATACTTCTTTCAACCTCAACAATGTGATATTTATTTATAACTGCTGAGTCTGCTGAATGCAGCCATTGTTGATTGCTCGTTAGCAACGAACAACGGATCTCTAGAGGCGTTGCTAAGTAGCTCCTTTTGTTTCAAAAGCGGTCATTACGAATGCGACTAGGCGTCTTCCGATTTACACTGCCAGTACTGAAAATCTATACGTATCGTGAACTATAGATTTTCAGTACTGGCAGTGCATATCGGAACACGGCCTCTGGCCTTATACATCTGTGAGACTGACGTCCTATGAGCAGAAATTTACTGCGGAACAGAACAGCAAGACCAATCACGATCGTAGAAAAGAAAGCAGAGTAACGATTGCAGAGTTGTGATTGGTCGGGCTGTTCCGTTCCGCTGTAAATTTCCGCTCCACGCTAGTTTGAGGCTGCATTCTGTTTCATGCATGATGTGCATAATGCATCATTTATCCTTGTTTAACATTCAGTGAATAACAAGGATAAAAGATGCATCATGTGCATCATGCGTGAAACGGAACGCAGCCTGAGAGGGGATCGAAAGAAGGAACGAGGCAAGCAATCAGTGATGCCAACTTGATGGTTTTCCCACTAAATTTAATGGTTTTTAATGGGAAATATGCAACTGTGTAGTGGGATTTCGACTATCCGAATTGACAACTCTGGCGTCCTTTCTACGTAGAATCTGCCCACACTCTTCAAATTTTTGACAATTGCGCAGTCTAGTGATATTATGTCTATGGTTGGTACCAAAGATATGGGCCTAGTTTACACCGAGCACTTGATACGCGTATTAAGTACCATATTCGCACCAAATCGCTTGGTATAAACGCTGGCGGATTATTTTGATCTGATACTTCTGAATCACGAGTATCAGACTAAGCTGGTACGCATATCAAATGATATCAAAGAATCTCAGCGTGCTGTAAACGCTTGGTTCATTTTGGATCGTATATTAAAATTCGCCACTGGTTTTAAGTTCAAGTTAAAGTTAGAATTAGAGGTTTTACATCTTGAATAGCAGTGAAGACATCATGTCACCTAATTTGACTTGTTCTGAGGCAGATCGGTGTAAATAAGGACGTACCAAATATTTAATCCGCATCAATTTGATACGCGTACTAACCGATTTAGGGCCAATTTCACCAACCACGGTTAGATTAACCGACGGTTAAAGTTAGCAGGGTGACCAACAGACACATATTTTCTCGTAACCTCTTGGCTCTAACCTGAAATTTGTGGGAAGCAATAAACAGTGTATTATACATGTGAAAAAAAGTTTAAAAGGTAATATAAATATATATAATATGTTTCTTTATATAATATAAAATGACATTATAAATTTTATTTTTTTTTACAGATTAAAACATGCAAAGGCAAAAGAATTTTTCTGACGCAGATAAAGAATCTTTATTAGATTTAATATTTTTACAACGTGATGTCATTGAAAACAAAGAAACTGATCGTTCAACACTTGTAAAAAAGGATGAAGTATGGGTTGATATTACCAACAAATATAATGCAAACACAACAATTAAAAGATCAGAAAAAGCTTTACGTTACTGTTGGGATAATCTGAAAAAAGCAGCAAGAAAATATTGTGCAACTTTGAAGCGTGAAAGTTATAAGACAGGTATTAATTTATTATTAGGAATATATAAATTTAAAAAATCTTTATAAAATCTTTATATCCATACAGCCAATAATACGAATAAATTTGGCAGTTTGGTAAAATTCCTTCTCATTTCGACGAATTTCTTCAGGTAATATTGGAAGTTTTATAAACTCATTTCTTAATGCAGCAATAGCATTGGATATACGGTGAACAATTCTCTGAGCACTTGATATACTAATTCCACAGAAATCTCCAATAGTTTGCAAAAAGGATCCTGTTGCATAGAATCGTAATGCAACTAACAATTGTGTAATAGGTGGAATAGCATCATTACTGTAAAAATAACAGTATTTAACAGTAATTAACGTTATTTATATAATCTTACTATTATATATACATATATATACACACATATATTTGTACATACCAATCAGTTTTTGGTCGTATTTCATCTTCTATTTTTTCAAATAATATCATAAAATGATTTTTTGATATTCTAAACCTTGACCTGAAATCTACATCGTCAAACAATTCTAAATAATTTATACGTGGTTTGATTTTACGTGGTCTTCGACGTTTTTCTAAATTGTAACCAGCAAATTCGTCAAAAAATATGTAATTTATAATATCATTCATTTTGTATTCTCACTCACTGATGAAATTTCAGATAGACAAAGCTCCGTAAAATTGACAATATATAAGAGGTTACGAGAGAATATGAATGTCTGTTGGCCACCCTGCTAACTTTAACCGTCGGTTAATCTAACCGTGGTTGGTGAAATTGGCCCTTAACGGTGTAAAAGGGATTCTCATAGAGAATGGACTGCGCGATCCGTATCTAAGTAGTATTCAAATATGGTTGACAATAATAAGAGAGAGGGACCGTGGAAGATGGCCAATCTCCCTCTCATTCTCTCTCCCATTACACCTTCGAATGAAAAAAGATAGAGATGGCCGTCTTCCACGGTCTTTCTCTCTTACTTTTATCGACCATTTTGACACACGGATCGCGCAGTCTATTCTCTATGTCTTTGGTTGGTACATACTAACGCTATATTAAATTTTGGCTACATATCTTTAGGCTTTGACCTCCTGTGTGCTACGCACGCATCGCACACTCGCTAGGCACGGCTCTGGAGAGAGAATAGCTCCTTTTCTCAACACCGCCACTTCCTCCACGATAAATTTCCTTCCAACGATAAATCCTTGTACAAATAAACAAAATAGGCATTAAGAAAGCGTTTTCCTTATGTCATTGTGTTTAACGATATTTCGAAGAGATTTTAAATCGATTCCAGAGGTGATATACATGGAAAATGTCCCAATTACTCCCAGTGTCCCAATTACTGCCGTTTTTTTTAATTGCAGCATTTATATAAAAGTATGAGATCGTTATACATTAAGAATATTTTTAATATTAAACTATAACTATCATATAAATATAAGTACAACTGTATAAGATATTCAATATAATTTATATTTATAAAATAATTAAAGAAATTAGGAATGTTACTGAAGATGCA